GGAGGGCCCGTGTGCAAGTTGCGCACGTTAAAGTTCCCTTGGTGGTCTAAAATCGATAAGAGTAGGCTTCGGCCGCCACCCGGGCAAAATTTAAAATTTTCTACCAACTGAAAATATTAGGTGTGTCCCGCGCGCTCATATGACCTTATGCAGTTGCGAGTGCCGTAAAACACTTACCAGAAAAAAAGAAAGAAAAAAAGGTCAGCGAGTGATTTGTTGTGCACCCTCTAATTCGCCCACTGTCCACCAGGCGCAATCCGTTACCGGCACTGAACGTTTAACTGGGGTGTAAACGTCGGCAAGAGGAAATTACGACTGCAGTCTGTACTGTGGCTGGGAGTGTGTGCCATAAAAGTATTGATCTCGGATTGCTGGTTTTGATTTTGGATTTGTGTTGGATTCTTGCTTTTTTTTTTGTTGTTGTTGTTGTTGATGCTATTTTCGTATCGTCCAACTTGTTTTTTCTTAATTCCTTCATGGCACTGGGTTCAAGACCTAAAGACAAAGCGGACAGCTCTATAACTTAACCAATACAATTCCGCGATGCACAAGTGTACAACAAATGCACAGCCGGTAATTGTAGGCGTTTTATGCTCCCAACGGCACCATTTACATTGTGGATCATTTAAGAGGCGGGCTGCTTCGACACTGTCAGGGCCAACCCGGGATGAGAGAGATACAACGTCCTAGCAGATACACGGATATGTGCCATTTTTTATTTTAAAACCCTCGACTTAAGTGGGCAGAGAGCCTTGAAAACTTCGCGAAGAACTCGATTTCAAAAACACTCCCTTTGTAACGTAGCTCAGCCCATTGCAGTTTAGACATGTGAACCCGTCAGAAACAAACCATTGGTCTGGGAGTGACTATCATCACGTGATCACAATTTCAAGAGACCAGCATTAAGTCGTGGGATCGTTCAGATTAGAAGATCCCCACAGTACTTTTCTTTATTTTGCCACGCTTTCCCTGTTGAAAAGGTGCGCCATAGCTCAGTTGGTATTCTGTAGAACTACGGGGCGGACAACCCTTGTTTCAATCCCCAGAGCAGCGATTATGATCTCCAGTCTTTTATGGGTTGTTGGGTTTTTTTCGGGGAAGGGGGGGGGGATTGGAAACCTCTCTGTCTATTTGGTTGAATTATATTGGAGATGGACATTAAATCACGAGGTCTGCCTCCTTAATAAACTTACACTTACAGCTATGAAAGGCGCGACACTACATGAATTGTGCGTACAAAAACATGTTGCATAATTCGGGAACGACGACCTACCAGCCCCATCCCACCCTACAATTCTTGCATATTCAGAACGTTATTGAGACAACACCCGTTGCCACATGGTGTGAAAATGTTAGTTTTAGTTCACAAAGAGGTGAAATACTGCACGTTCAGTTCAGCAAACCTGCTTTCCACCACGAATACGATGCGTTTACAATTAGGTCTCAAGATACATGTATCAAAATAGATCTTGCGCCACGGAGGCATCCAAGACGGAGAAGAATAACCTGAACCATAAATTATAAGCTATTACGTGTATTAGAGGCACCAGCTACCCATGTCTAGGTGCAGTTTTAGCCTCTTCTTCCTCTATCTGTCAGTGTATGTTTATCATTGTAAGTTTGATTTGCCTACACTTCTTTTACCAATTACTGAAATCGAGTCACCACTCCCTTCTCCCCCACCACACCCCCTCCTTTTCGTCAAGGTGAAGAACAACAAATACTTTTATTGGCTCTGCAGGGGATTTCCTTGTGGAACTACGTCACGGAAATCACGATTATATTAATTCTATTCTTCTTGTTCTGTCTTTGCATTTCCGCACAGTGGTATCGGGTGCACACAACATAACATGAGCACCAGTGAAATTCCAAAGACTAAACTAATCAGCTGTTCGTAAACATGAAGATTAGGAACTTCGCTGTGACCGCGCGGAGTAGTCTACATTGTACATTTCGACACTATAAGGGTTGGACTCCGGCCAAAGCTGCCACCAGGCATTGCTCTGTTTTTACCGGGCGGGGGGTGGGGTGTAAAGGTAATCTCAAGTTCATTAATTCCAAATGAAAAGAGCTATGCGTAAGACTAGACCAATAGCATAATGAAGCCTGTTCCACCTGATCGCACACCCAAATGAGGCAATTATGCCAACCCGTACGGCTATCGACCCAAATTTCAGTCAGAGCTTCAGGCGGCAAAGGGCCCTCATACTCAGAGTGGAGAATCTGAATGATTGGTTAGCAAGACCATAGACATTCAGTTTACAAGTGCACGTTAGTTACAGACAAAGAAGAAAACAACATTAGGCATGTTGCAGTTAGACTACAGCGCTAACTACAGTCGTGAAAAAAAAAATTTTTCAAGCCACTAGTTGGAACTCAAAAGAAAATCTGCAGGTTCTTGAGTTGGGGTTAATTATTGAAAACAATTAAACTTGTCGCTGCGCTACATGCAAACAAGAAAAACCAGAGTGTGCATGTTAAGGTAATCTGAAATTCCAGTGCTTTTCAGTTCTTTGGCAAATCAAACATCCTAGATCTAGCAAACATCACAAGTTGGTAGCAAACTTTCTTCAGAGAGTTCATTTATAACACCACATAATATGACTTTACTAGTGTTTTACTAGACATTTTAGCTCTCTAAATTGAACTCGGGAATTTTTTGATGACTTCGTTTGATTCCTTTTAATTCACTGATAAAAAAAAAAAAAACAAAGGATACATTAACTGAGTTACAGCAATCATCACACTCAATTTTGGGACACTCGTCAGGCATGATTCACACACACTATTGATTCTAACTATTTCCAAAGACCACATTAGATCCCATTGGGTGTTAAAGATTCCAATTGGGCACAGTTAACAGTTATCCACAACTCTTTTTTTTTTCGTTTAAAAAAGTAGTGTTGGCTGGCACACCATGAGACACACTCACCTGTTGGGCGTACTGTGGGGTGTCGCCTCCAGCACGGTCTGTCCATTTCCTCCTGCGGTGGTCATCGTGTCCAGGAGCAGGTCCATCGTTCGGACGATCCACCCCCTAGAATGCGTCCATTCACACACTCATGCAAAGCCATAACAACGTCAAACAAAGAAAAAGCCCGCAGTGTCCGTAGTAGTTTGGCGAGACTTTCGCCCACATCCATTGCAACGGAGCATGATACACTATACAACAAAGCAGGGACGTGGGTAGCTGGCGGGTGCTCTGGTGTGGTTTGCTCTCTATTTCCTATCAAACAGCCATCGTCCCTATCTTTCCTTTTTCTCTTTTATGTTTGTTACTCCCATGTGACACCTCTAATCTTCGGGACATTTATCATTTAACTGTGTTGCAAGTGCTGTAAAACTCTTACTGACCTAAAAAAAAAAAAAAGAAACGAAGCAGGGACGTTTCATTCTGGTTGTTTCCCTTCTGCATAATGTGTTGACACTTCAATTTGAACATGAAGCACTACTTAAAACTTCATGTGAGGAAATATTCCACAAAAGTCGAGAGACAATGCTCAAGACCCGATTCAGATTCGAACCTCGAACGTCCATGTCTTGTCAAGTTCATGGCCAACTGCCAGAGATGAATATGTATTCTTCCCACACCTCTCACTGACATTAGGAGCAAATTGTGATTACATGAAGCTAACGTTGCATTTGTTTCAAATGAAGGCGTTTTATGCCTCTGTTGACATAACGTAGACCAATAAGGAGGCCGGCTTCGACCCTGCCTATCACAACCAAACTGGACTGAGAGGAATACACCATCTTGCTAGAAAGACAGAGGAACTCATAAAATGTCTCCCTGCAGGAGAAGGGAACTTAGGTCTTCTGTGTGCGATGGTGTGGCGCCTAACCGCTACACCACAGACGCCAGTCAACCTAACTAACAGGTACAATATCAAATATGTTCAACGATAGAGTGGCAAAATTTACAGTACATTACATCCCAGAGGGAAAACTGCTGTCTACGATGAAAATACATGTACAATAGTTTCTAGAAGAATCGTATTTAAAAAATGTTATTAAACAACAGGCACACGGCATGGAAATATACACGCATATTTTAAATACATAATTTACACGTCGCTTTCGAAGAAAGCATGGTCAATCAGAAGAAAAAAATACTAAGCACACAAAGACTCCATACTCCAGTTATGCCAACAAAAAAAATATTTCACGGTGTGGTGAAAATCAAAGAGCAAATTTTAGCAGCAACAATCCGGTCACAGAATCGGGTACCCCCTTGGCATAGAGTGTATCAAAGAAAAGTGACATTAAAGCACTCACGTGATTGTAAAAGAAAAACTTCTGCCGCGGAAAATACAGCTTTTTAAAAAGTAATCTATAGCTAAGAAGCAACAACAAAAAAGTGCTAACAGAATATCACTCACACTAGCAAAAACATTTTGTATTAATTAACATCGCAAAGAGATAAATCCAACGATGGGAAAAGTCGTTTTTGTTGCTGTTATAAGAAATGGTACGGGTTGCTGTTTACCTCCACGCCTAATATTTAATAGAGGCAGGAAAACAATTTGTGTTTGGCAAAACGGTTCCACGACAAGTGACGGAAATATTATTTCAGTGAAACTGATTTTTTAAAATTATTAATATACCAAAAAAAACACGTATTAGTAACCAGTGGGTGAAAGTGAATGTGTCTGGAAATGTTGTGCGTGTGTTTTGGAGGGGGGTGGGGTGCTCTCAAGTTTGAATCAACACAACACTGTTTTTATAAGAAATTGAAAGTCAACTAAACGCATTTGACATAGCTCGCAGTTTGCAATGGAAGTTCATACATTAAAAATTCACAAAACACTGCGAAAATAACAATAAACATAATACATAATAAAGGTAACAACTATGACAGTCAATAATAGCTTTCTACACCCAGTGTCGTTTTTCATGACACATTTGTTTTCTTTGGCGTGACCCTGTTGGACATTAAACAGATCAAAGTGGGTGTTTTAGAGCATTCAACGGTGGAAAACTAGACATCACATTGCAGTTGCAAGCAACCGGACACTTGTTTATGAATTCAACAGAAACAAAAGAAAAACGATTCTAGTTTTTGAATAGGCAATAGCAGCAGTTCTGTACCAACGATGACGCAACACAGTTGTTTGGACATTGTCGAACCACCATACAATAAATTTCATTGCATAACCCTGGTTAACTTTCTTGACTCATTGTTTTCTCTTTACCATTCCCACACCGAAAAAAAATATATAAAGAAGTGAAAAGAACAATAGAAGAAACATTCTTTAAAACACAGAATAAGCTTAATCACGACAGTATTATTCAATTAATACATGATTATTAACACTAGCAGCCATTATTTTCCTTTCAGTTTGAGTCTGCTGGAACTATAACGGATTGTCCTTCTGTACTCGAAGTAATTATAGAGTCTAAAGCAGAATCTTAATTTAAAGAAACAACACATTTTTAATATAAAGTAAGAAATTAAATAACAATACATGTACAGTCAAGAAAAGGCAAATGTAAAGTAAATTGTACGATATACATCCAGGTGGAAATGAAAATTATTATTGAAGAATTGAACGAGATCCACAGAGTGAACAACACACGTACATTATTATGTAGATCTGAAGAAACCACAGCAGTAAAGGGAACAAGAGGCGGTCAAACACACACCCCAACAGTGGGTTAGTTCAAACGAATAGTGAGGAGTGAGGTGAAGTGAGGAGGGACTGACTGACCTCCCAACACTAGCTTAACTCCCCACCCCACACCTCCCCCACCCACAATAATATCATGTCAGCGTATTATTATACGGTGCCTATGTCCCCACCGTGCGTGTTGATCTTTTGGACTGTCGCGCAGAGCAACTCGCACAGAAAGCCCCCCCCCCTTACGTAGTGTGGGCCTCCAATTCAAGGGTCGTTTGACTTCGGTGACTCAATGGAAGGAACTGTATTGAGCGCTTCATAGGTTTTCCGTAATTATGTACATATATGAGCACGCTAATAGTCCACGTGTCGATCATGTTTGGTGCTTGTCAACGAAGGAATGAAGATCACATATTCACATTTTGGTAATGTATAAAAAATGTGAGTGTATGGACCTGTATCTCTCTCTCTCTCTCTCTCTCTCTCTCTCTCTCTCTCTCTCTCTCTCA